GCACGAGGAGGCGAGCTGACTTCTGGCCCCTGCACGCCCTGCTGCTGCTCTCCATGATCAGCCTGATGCTTATCACTCGTCTCTGGGGAAGAACATTAGGACCAGGCTGAAACAAGAGGGACTGCCCACCCATCCCTACCCCTCGGTGCTGACCCAGAGGGAGTCACCCCCTGTCCTCCTGATCAGCCAAAGCCCCCGCAGGCACCGGCTCAACGCTCCTTTAAATCGTGCTACAGTCTGATAAGCATTTGTGAGCCTTTACAATGATAATTGCACAGTACGGGGTAAAGCATAACAGTGGTGCTGTGAATATTCATGAGCTGGGGACCAGCAATGTTACTGCTTTCAAAGGGAAGCCAATGGCACACCTCTGATAGCAGTCGCAGCAGGAACCAAACAAGCCAAAGCGGCATCTCCTCCCCAAAGCATGTTGGGAAATATTATTATTGCGGAGTCATTAATTTGTGTTTTTGTTCCCTATTAGCGCTGCCTGATCTCCTCATTAGCATTGCTACTCCCAGGGCTTACGGTGCAGAGAAACCGAATCCTGGCAAACATCGTCAGGGCTGGCCGTGAAAAGATATGCGAGAGCCTGGGAAGCGGCGGGGCTGTCTGCTCATCACCTGTGCAGCGCAACCTGTAAACATCAGGGCAATCTCTATTCAAGTCTGGGAGAAGTAGGAAAAGGTACCGACTCCTAGGTTCCAGGTGAAGGGATTAAGAGCCAGGATGCATCAGATGCCCAAAGCAACTCTGCTGACTTCGGTGGCACTGATGAAAATGCACACAAAACCAGGACGTGCCTCTTGGGCAAGGCCACCTCTGGCTGCAGGGGGCAGAGGCAAAAATAGATGCCAGCACCCTCCCTTCCTTTCGCGAGAGCGTCTTCCCATGAAGCAAAGCAAACCATTCAGCACACGCTAAAAGCAGGCCGCTCAGCATGGGGCAGGCAGGCCTGTTGCAGCAGCCAACCTTGCCAGGACTGTTTTCAAGGGCTATTTGCAGCTCTGACATCCATGGAGAAAAGGGGCTGTGGAATCAATTATCCTAAACCCTGCAACAAGAGCCCTCCGGGAGCCTGCAGTCAAGCGGCGGGATTACCAAAGGGACAGCCACACGCCACGCTGGCCCAGAAGCTTGAAGAATGTATTTTAAAGATAGTTTAATTAGCCTGATCTATGTCGCTTTCCATCGATCGGGTCCCCGGCACTTCAGGAATCTATCAGAAGGAAAACGGACAGCATCGATTGGGTCCAGACCCTGCGCTGGAATAACATCGACTCGCGCTATATTTAATAAGCAAATAGCTCTGTCGTAAATATAACCAGAAGAGACGCAGGGCTGGGGCGATGGCCTAGTCTGGTAGGATGCTTTGTGCACGGCTGTGCTGGGAGAGGCCTCGAGTCTGGGCAGGATCAGAGTGGTAGCCAGGGACAGTGCTCTCACCATCTCAAAGACAGATCTCCCAAAAGCTGCACTGACATCGAGAATGCCAGCAGCACTTAAGGCAGGGAAACGGCTGTCAACAAGAGCGTGGGCTGAAATGTCAGTGCCTGCATTTGAGTGCATCCTTCCTCCACAGGAGTCCCAGTGAAATCCCAATCAAACAAGACAACCAAAGATAGTGTTTCCCCCTGCCGCTCAGTGCCAAGACAGACTTTGAAGGAGCTGGTCCCAAAAGAAAAACTGGGGGGTAAGAGGGAGAGCATTTCCCAGCCACAAAGGAGAACGTTCCCAACTCCCATGACAAGGCACAGCCAGCTGGGATTTTGCCTTTCCTTTAGTTTCAGTGCAAGCTGGCTACCCGCCTGCCCTTTGCACCTTTCCAAAATCTCCCACCAGTTCATTTCCATTTGAAAGTCCTTCTCCGATCTCCCAACCCCAGGCTAATAAAACTGAGTTGTGTCTCATGGCACAGGCAGTCTGTTTGCTTTTCATCTGCATTTCATCTGGCTGCTGCTGTGAAACAAGACTTGGTGGTTCGTCTCATTTGTGGGGTCTCAAGCCAGTTCTGCTTTTGTTTTCCCGTGTACTCAGCCAGCACCACCGTGCCTGGGCTTTCAACAAAGCCGGGAAGTGCTGCACAATACACAGCAGATTCACTTGGTGTAAATCAACGTAGCAATATTGACTTTAGCAGAACGATGCTAATTTATACCAGCCAAGGATCAATTACTCTCTCTGTCGCTCTACTTGTCTACCCACCTTTCTTGTACATACTCCATGGATCTTGGCAAAAAAATCCTGACAATCTGTTTTTGTATTAATTTGTGTTATTACTTCCTTTTTTTTTAACCCATAATTGGGTCTGAAGCAGACGGATGCACATTTAGACTACTAGCACCACATCACAGTGGTCTTGCACCTTGTATGGACATTTTATGTACAGCAAACGAAGTTTGGAGTAGGTATAAAAGCCTGCAGTTATACTGGCATAAGGAGCATGCAACAGGGGGCCTTTTTAGGGCCCGTCTACCAATGGCCCCACCCACCTGTTCTGGGCCAACCACCCACCTTCTTGCCTGCCATGCCTTGTTGTTAATTAATTAATTATCTTAATTAGGTGGGAGGCTGCCTATTTTCTTGCCCTGTTGCCAGGGGACACTATTTGCGGCTCTGTACCTCCCCTACACCGCAGCCCAAGCCTCACAGATGGCATCCATAGTTCTTACAGTCACCAGCCCCACGCTGGGCCAGACTTCTCCAGTCAGGACCCCTCCAAGACCCCTCCATTCTGGCAGCCTACCCCACCTTTGGTCAGGCCATCTAGCTCCTGGAAACTGTTTCCCCCGTCGGGTGTGGTTCCCCCGGGACCTTTGGCCATACAGGCCCTGGCCTCACCTCCAAGGCCAGTCGGAAACCCCAGACCTTCAGCTCTGGGTGTCCTTCGTGGTAGGCCCCTGGCCCTTTTGACCATTCTGGTCCTGGCCCCAGCACTGACCAGTCGAGGGTACTCTCTCTATCAGGTCTCTGAGTCTCTAGCCCCACTCTATCTCCTGGGGTATGCCCTCTGGGCCCTAGTAGCAGGTGATCCACCCAGTTGTGGAGGCTGGGGTTAAGGCGCCCTGCCCCGCCTTTCACAGGGGTGGTAACTGGCCTGGCTTTTCCTGGGGGCTCCCGCGCCACTGAGAGCCCCAGCACGGCACCCACTCCTGGCAGGGTGCTGTTTTAGGTCATGCTCAGGACCAAGAACCAAGGAGCCTCCTAGCCATCCTCTACAGCTCCTCCCTTACCTCCAGGTTGTTGCAAGCAGCCTTGCAGCCAGCCGATGTTGCTGCCTGGGCTGCCAGCAGAGAACTGATCTGTTTATGTAGGCAGCCAGGGATCTAAAATGGCCGCCTCAATCAAGCACCTGCTGGCTGCTTGGCTCAAATATTAAAGCGGCAGGCACCAACAGTGCCCTGCCACAGAGCATAACATCTAATACTCAGGAGACCTGGGTTTTACTCTTTGCTTTGCTTCCAGTCTGTGGTGCTGAACAAATTGTTTTGCTGTCCTCTTCCAGCTGTCACCTGACCTGTCTCTTTATGTAGGAAGCCGTTTGGGGCAGGGACTGCTTTTCTAGTGGCAACTGCAATGGGCTCCCAAATTGAGTGAAGGCTGTTAGATACTATCATTTTTTTACCCACTTCATTCATGTGCGTTTGATGACCCAAGGGACAAGAGAGTGGAAAATCAGAACCACACTGAACGTAATAGCAGTTGGGAGTTCTCATTACCTGCTGTGAAGAATGAAACATTTTGCTGGATTGGACCCTCAGGACGGTTCCCCAGGGGGCTTCAGGGTGCAGGGCACATTGGCCACATACCAGCAGGAAAAAAAGGAAGGCCAGTTCAGCTGGATTCAATGCCAGGAACTTGGCCTCATCCAGGGAGATAAGAAAATGATTAAGCATGTATGCCCTCTAAGACAGCAGCAGCCATTCAGCCTTTGCCCAGGCTCCAATCACATTCCTCAGCACAGAGGTTGTTGGAGGGGTTTTTTTTTCCTCCCACTTCTAATAAAAATTAAGTGAAACAAAATGAAAGCAAAAATCTTGCAAGGCAAGAACAGAGCAGGCAATTAGCTTGTGTCTCTTGAAAAATTATTCACTAATTGTGCAAAGAGTTGTGTGCACAAATCGGACTAATAAACTAGATTTAATCTGATGCTGAAAAGCGAGCAAGCGGGGAACAAGGAGGCGGGATGGAGCTGAAGTGCTAATAAGGCTCCGCTGGTGCCTTGACTCAGCCCTCTGGAAAGTACTTCTCAGCAAATGCGAAAATGCATCTATTGACACTGGGGACTGCATTCTGTATGAATTACCCAGGATTGTACAACCGCTTGCTTTCCCAGGGAAGTGACCAGAGCCATTATGGGTACTGCTATGATCAGAGCTGGAGAGCCATGGGGGTACATGGGGCTTAACATGGAGAAGGCAAGAGCTTTGGCGCACAATGCTGTGGGATCTTCTCTATCAAAACCAGAGAAGTTTTGTGCCACTAGTGGAGACAGCACCCAGGGCATTTTGCTGCTATGACCTACATTAGCATCTGTACCTTTGCTGAAACACAAACACTAGTTTGGCTAGGATTGATGAGACCCTACTGGAAATACATGTGGTCCATTAAATGCAGGCATGAAAATCCAGTTCAGAGTCCTCTGGCTCAAAAGCCCATTAAAGCCCCTGATGATCCCAGGGGCAGCAATAACCAATTGATACCTATCTTCACCTAGTACCCTTCACCAGTTGATCTCAAACCCCTTTGCAGAAGAGGGCAGTATCATTACCCCTGTTTTACAGCTTGGGCAACTGAGGCACAGAGCAATAATGTGAACTACCCAAGGTCTCCCAACATGCAATGAAAGGGCTGGGACGAGGCTCCCCATTGCCTGTGCCCCTGTAAACTGCTCTGTGGGCTAGTTCACACTGGATGCATCGTACAGAACAGAACGGAGAAGGCAGGGCAGAGGTAAGCACGAGGCTTGTGCATGCACGTGTTCAATTTCTTACCTGTTGATCCCAAAGGCTGGGAATCATCATCGTCAGGTCTCTCACTGCATCACCTTCTAGATCCAAGAATCCCCTCTCTTTCCAGCCTCCTTTCTATCCACCTTCCAAAGCCCCTCACGACACAGTAGGTTCCACAACTCCCAGCTTAATGTCTCGTGCCTAAAATGCATGGACATCCATGTAACGTTACTTATGCTCCCACAGTCCTGCCGCAATCTGCTCTGGGGTCAGTGACAAACCCTGCCTAGATGTGTGACTGGAGCTGGTCTCCTCCTTGGTTGTTCTCAAGCCCTGGTTTGGAACAAGAACAGAAAGCTGGACCCCAGGAGAGAAAATCCCAAATCCCTCTATATCTGGGTTTTCATCAGATGGTTGCGCCAACAGGATTTTATTTAGCAAGCCTCCCCACTTTCATCCTTTGTTTTAAATCCTCAGGTATCTGTGGTTGCCCAGACTTGGGGAGGACAGCGTACGAGACAGTGGAGAGCTCGGGCTCCATTCTCTTTGCCCTGCCCTGCCCCGCTGGCAGTGACAGAGGTTCAGTCCTGAAGAACACAGCTATGTCTTCTTCCCAAAACATCTATGGCCTCTTCCCCTCCTCACATGCAGAACCAGCACCTTCAGTTCTTTTTTTTCCCCCACAAATGAACTGACTGATGCATCTAAGGTCAACTCCGTCTTTCCCCTCCATTTGCAGTAATCCCCCCCATAAGCTTGACACAACGGCTCCAGTTTTGGCAGAGAAAAATCACAGGTCAATCCCAGTGCCAGCAATAACAAAATGGTTAATGCAGAGGTAGCGTGACCCTTGGGGAAAAATGCCTCTCGCTGCGTGCTGGGGCATGTGCTACCTACCACAGCAGTGATGCACGCTGGCTGACACGCTTTCCTGTGCCCATCCACGCATTCATGTACATGCCAGCTCTCCCACACTTGCATGCACCTGTTCAAACCCGTATACGTGGTCTCCCACCCCTGCGCACACAGACACTGGACAAGCACAAACGTTCACCCTGTCACGTGCCCACGTGTACTCACACGCGCAGACTTGAAAATCTAACCAAAGTTCCCTGCAGAAAATGCACTGAGCGTGGACAGCTGGAGATGGAGAATCTGGCAGTCATGGCAGCAACCTTGGGACTTTCCTCCTTTTACAAAGGCAACTTGTTTTTTCCATTTACCAAATAAACCTCCTTTGCCACCCTGCTCCCTGGACTGAATTCACGTGCAGCAGTATGTAGAAACTTGAAATACCTTTGTTCATAACTGACAATTGTAATCCCCGGTTCCACTTACCCCTTAACTGGTGTCTACTGCAACGCTCCAGCAAATTAAACAGGAAACACTTTGGATCTGGATATTGGGGCTCAGCAGTGGGTTAAATACATCTGGGCTGTACTGATGACATGTGCAAGGCAGGACAGAGCCTTCTCCCTTCACAGGCACTGCATGAAAATCACCTCGGTGGTGGGCATCACTTTTATTTTATTTAGTTCCTGAAGGTTAACTCACCTGGGAGTGAATTGCAGTCTCAGCCACCACAATCTTCCCCCAGCAAGAGCTGGGCACAGGGTAAAACCTGGAAGAGACTCGCGGCACTGGTCCCTTCTTGCTGAAGTCTTGGTCAGGTACAGAGTAGGGACGTTCCTGCGTGTCTGAGAAGCCCATACGCATCCTAAGCCCAGTACACGCTTTGTTAATGGAAAGAAATCCCCACCAGGTCTCGGCAACACAGGGCCAAAAAGAAGGAAAGAGAATGCTACGTGCTCCCAGCATCTCACCAGCCTTAAAAACATGGAGTCTGATTTGGCCCTAGCTGCAGTTCGCCCTGAATTCAAAAGGATGGATTTGGCCCTGGGAATGTCACCATCTGCTTCTATTTCTGTAGCCATGCAGAACAGGAATTCACTGATCTTATAACAACTATATAAAGGTACAGGCTGGATGTGTGCATCTCTGCTGACAGATCACTAACAAGGCTTTGCTGGCATAGACCTTGACAAGTCTGTTCCAGAAATGAGGCTGGAGACTTGGCTAATATTGCCAGCTGGGATAGACTTCAGAAAGGAAGTCCTGAGCTACCGCTGGCACCCGAATCTCTGGTTTGTCCCATATGCAGGCAACAGGGACAAGACCTTCTGGCTGCCAGCAGGCAGGTGAGGAAGAAATGCTAGGATGCTTTCAGGCTGGACAAGATATAACTGGGGCTAGTCCTGCTTGGAGCAGGGAGTTGGACTAGGTGGCTGGACAGACATTACACGTAAACTGGTTTAAATGATCGGAAACTGATTTAAACCTGTAACAGAATAGACATTCAATGCACATAAACCAGTTTGAAAATGGCTGAAACTGGGTTGAGATAAACCTGGCTGAATGTAGTATAAGACTTAACTGATTTGGGTCAACCCGGTTTATGCAATGTCTGTCCCAGACCCCTTGCTGGTTTAAGTTAAAACAGACTCCCGCAGCATCCCAGCATGCTCTCTGGGCTGGGCAGAGCTCTGCTCCAGTGAGCTGGGCTGCCCGTGGCCAGATGCTGGCCCACCATGGCCCTTGAGGCAAATTCCTCCCTCAATCCCCTTCCCCCCCACCCCTGCTGGCAAACCCTGGGGACCGCAGCTGGGGTCTGCCAGCCCTAGCTGCACCTCCACGGCTTGCCTCCAGCCAGGCAGAGACGGAGTGAATTCCTTCCTCTGTCCCCTCTCTCCCCGGGAACCCCTGGGGGTTTGGCTGCAATCTCTATGGCTTGCCTGAAGCCAGGCGGGGACGCGCCTGTGAGCCAAGTATTAGGGTGACAGTATTTGGATCTTAGGGAGCACTGGATTTGCAGCTGAATAAAAGGCTATAACCTGTGGCCTAGCAAAGCTGCTAACCACAAGGCAGAATGGTATGTTAAAAGTAACATTGCAAGACGCTTAGGCAAGCATTTACCTAACAGTATAGTAGTGTTATAAAATATATAGCTCATTGTGTAAAAAGAACAGGATGCAAACCACCGGCTATCGTTAGAAGATAAAGCAGATTTTGCTTATGAATGCTTATGCTGAGCAAGCCATTTGCTTATGCTAAGTAGCCATCTTAACTGTGTCAACCATTTTCAAGTGTGTCTGTGTAAGTCTGTGCGCTGTGAATGCAGTGAAGTCTTAGGAACGTGGAGATGGTACAACCTGGGACCAAAAAACAGACTGGAGTGTGAAAGACAACACGTAACTGGTAACAGAATCCAAGATAAGCATATGAAAAAAGGTGAATGGTAAAGAAGCCTCCAGAAGCTTCCATGCTTTGGTCAAAGTCCGCCCAAGTGACCAAAAGAAGCAGGGGTCAAGGCCTCAGGCATGCGGTCATAGCAAAAAGACATGTAAATAAGTTAAATACACAGGCAATTCCATGCTAACGAAACAAACAGTAAACAGAAGTGGAGCTTAAAATGGGAAGGACTAAGGGTGGAACAAAGGAGAAGTAAATGTTAATGAGCATAAGCCAAGGTGTATAAATATGGAAAGAACTCATGTTCGTGGCAGCTTCCCGGTTTGTTGAAGCTGGCCCAAAGCTGTCTCCATTTTGAATAAAGCTGTTGACGATAGCATTGATCTGTTGTTTCCCTAGTCGTTGGGCGTCATATGGAGTTGAGGTCCAACACCAAGAGCTAAGACCTACAGGACCAGACTGAGAGGTGGGAAGTGTTGGCAAAGACCTGACAATCATCCTATGTGCTGGAGTTAAAGGAAGTTGCAAACAGCTTCACCAAAGAATGCAGAGAGCTACATTTACATTATAAAGCAGAATGCGTAAAAGGCGGGAATACCTAAACAAAACCTTTCTGAATGCCTGGCTGTAAGGAGACACTCTGCCCTCAGGATTAGTAAAACCAGTTCTTGCCTTCCTGGTTTATGTTTTAACTTAGATTAAGTTGTGTATGCTGTGTTTTACTGGGCTGTATCTTAGCTTAGGTGAAGCTTTTTGGTAGTTCCCTGTTGGAGGCTTTGCAAATTGGTGTGTTCAATACACGCTTGCTCCAGAGAAAGGACTTTTTCCCCTTCCCCACTCCTCAGTCTCCCTCTATGATACTATGCGTGGCTGGGTGGCAAAGCCTCTCCAAAATCTATGCAAAGCCAGAATGCGCAGGGGCAAATGAAACAACAGTGGGAGCTCAGTAATAGCCTTTGTGCGTCTGTAGAGTGGTGATCACTTGCAATCAAGGATGGTTAAGAAATGTCCTATCTACAGCGATGGGGCAAGCAGAGGCAGGTGATATGGTGACTTCAGTAGGGGCACCCTCTCAGCACTAACCGGACCACTGGTACGGTAACATTTGTAACCCAAAATCAAGCACAATTTGGGGGCTTTTTTATATTTTAACTCCATGGATACTTTTGTTTGCACTGGTAAGTGTCCAGGCCAGTCCTGGCACCATTAACGCCATGCCCTTGGTATGAAGCTGGCACTAAAGATCAAAGCTCCTACCACAGGACAGCTGTTGTAACACTGGTTGGCAAAATACTGCTGACATGGTTTTCTGTCAAAAAAAAAAAAATGCCATTTCCACTAAACTGATTATTTTCCCACAAAAATTATGTCGATTTTGACATCATTATATTTAGCAAAGGAATTTTGAAAAGACTGAAATCTCCTGTTTTAATATTTTCAGAATGAAAAGATTGGATCTGGCAGTTCAAAACATCTGGATCTTAAACACTTCTGAAAAAAAATCTTTTCAGGAACAGAACAGAAAAATAACATTCGGAGACAGAGAGAAGATTCTCCATTCACAATGTCAAAACAGTTACTAAAAAGGAGCCAAATGTTCCTTAGCTCTGCATTTTGCTTTTATTTGAAAGCCTAACTTCATAATTATATTAACTTTATTCTCTGTTGGTTCAGGGTAAATGGCAGCTAATCAGAAGGTAATTCTTGTGCTATTTCTGTCTCCTAGACTAGAGCCTTATGGGAGAAACCTCAACTTAACGTGGTGACTAATCTTTGAACCATTTGATAACTTTAAATCTAATCACCAGGTGACCTACAGGGACGTGTAAAAATTGCTGTGTGTTTAGATAGCAATTACATTTATCTCCAGGGTAGTTAATTACATGCTTATTAGACCTGCTTTGTACAATAATGCCAGGCAATTCACAATTCCTTTTAAGCGAGTCTGTCCAGAAATCCACAAGAAAATTTCAGCTGCTCCGGTTCAGGTAGTAGGACAAATATTTCAAAATCACGTTTGCCCAACTGCTCTGTGTTTCTGTGGTTCGGTCACACCCACTGGTGACCAGACCTGGCTGTCTTTAGCCTCTGAAGTCACCGAGACAGAAATTTAGGGATAACCAAAGAAATGAAAAAGCCAACTTTGAATCGTACACCCGCTCCACACCAGAACATCACCCAGAGTCAATTATTGCAGCTCCACTGATCTGGACCCTTCTCTGAGGATACACACCTATCATATACCATTCGTATGACGGTAGCACAGAGATGCCCCAACAACGATCATGCCCCCATTGTGCTTGGCACTCTACCAATTCACGGTGCTACATAAGACTGCCTTGAAGTGCCTAGGACTAACACGGCCACCAAATACAACTTCGAAGTGCCTAGGACTTCCACAGGCAACAGAGGTCAAGAAGAGGAGAAAGCAAAGTATCATCAACCCTACTATGGAGAGGGAGGGCACAGAGATACTAAGGGCCAACCTTTCCATACAGGGAGATCCACTGGTTGTTTCAGATCTCTCTTAGTGACCTGCTGAAGGTCATCCAGGAAGCCTGGCCAAGCCGAGAAGGGGACCCGGCTCTCATGCACACATGAGTCAAGAAACCACAACAGCAAACCTAATTCTAAGTTTGTGCAGCTCCCATGCGCCTCTCCAGTCTGGCTGAGCCCTATTATTTTTCTGCTGCCTCTCTCTTTGACAGGCCAGATGACATTTATATTTCCTGAAAGCTTCAATAAAAGGCACTTTAGCCACAATCACCTCGATCTCATTTCCAGTCAAACACAACCACCCCCCTCCTCCCAGATTAAAATAAGGGCCCAGGTCATTCTGACAGGCTGTCAGAGACATGGTCCTGTCCGATGGATATCTTGTTGTTGGAATCCAAGGACAAAAAATTTGCTAAATGGCTTGAAAAGGACATGAAGAGTGGCTGAGAGACGGTCACAGCTAAGTTGTTAACATGCCAGCCTGGGTGGTGATGTTGCAGGGATGGCTTCAAGGACAGATAGCCTAGCGGGTCTCTCTACCATGGACAGTCTTATAAATATGGCACTGGGTTTGGGAGATTTTGACTCATCTCCCAGATTTGCCAGGCATTCTGCTCATGACCTTGGGGAAATCACTTCACCTGCGTTTCAGCTCCCCCCGTGCCATCCGACGGTCATGGCACTGCCTTAACAACACTAGTCTGTCTCATTCGGATGGCACGCACTATGGCAGGGGTGGGCAAAATGTGGCCCGCGGGCCGGATGCGGCCCGCCAGGCCATCCCACCCGGCCCACAGGACCCCTAAAAAATTTAGAAAATTAATATTTATCTGCCCCCAGCTGCCTGTCGTGCGGGCCTCGATGGCTTGCCAAAACTCAGTAAGCGCCCCTCCGCCCAAAATAACTGCCCGCCCCTGCTCTATGGGCTAGGGGCGGTCGAGACGTGTGCAGAGCTTCTGGCATAATGGCACC